GCCATAGTTCCTTTATCTTCGATACTTCTTTCATCCAGTCCAGTCCTCTTCCATCCTCGTTTAGCACTTCTTCTCTACTTTCCCCCGATTCTCTCAATCCTTCACATCCTTCCAGAATATGCTGTATAGTTTCTGCCTCTCTCCAAATATCCTGCACCTTCTGTCAGTTTCATCCATCCAAAAATTGTTCTCTTTCTCTTTATTTCCACACCTAAATCTCGCCATCATTCTTTTCTCCTTTATACTCTCTCTGTGTGTGTACTTTGGTACTTCATCCTTTACTATTTTTCTATACTCTGCATTATATCTAGACTCCGATATTCTCGATCTGCGTTCTTGCTTATCTATATCCTTATCTCTTACACTCAGTTCTTCTTTCATACACCTTTCCATTTCTCTCATTCTCTCTATTTCTTCACATGCATATCCCTTTCCTTCATAATACTTGTCTCTTTCGTTCCAAACATGTTTTCCCCCTTCCTTTCTTATTTCTTTCCAACATTCTTGCAATATTTTGCAATCACCTCTCTCACTGAACTTCTCTTCAAATCCAATCACCCTTTTACACGCTTCCGCTCTCATTTTCTCCCTTTTTGTTTCGTACTCATTACATATCCTGGCGTACACTTTTCCAATCCCAATGTCCATTTCAAGTATTTTTCTTGCACTCTCTCTATTTCTTCATATTCCCTCCATCCCCAAATCTCAGCTGCGTACATAAATACACTTTTAATGAAACTATCAAACATCATCATTCTTCTCTTATAATCATGTCCAAATTTTCTCTCTCCTATTCCCCATACTATTCCTATCACTTTGTTCGCTTTTTGGACCATTTCTAGAATATGCGCTCTATCTGAGTTATTGCCCTTTAATGTATATCCCAAGTACTGGAATACTTTTACTTGTTCAATGTTCTTCTCTCTCCATGCCCACTCTTCCTTCTCCTTTCTTACTTTCTTCCCAAACACCACCATTTTTGTTTTTCCACATTCACTTCCAATTCCTTTCTTTTACATACTTCTCAAAACTTTTAATCATTGTTTTCATTTCTTCTCTTTTCTTTGCCACAATCACCAAATCATCTGCTTACGCCAACGACCACATCTCGCTCTCTATTCTATTCACTCTCACCGTATTTACTATTTCTTCATATATTTCTTCCATTTTCGTTACCAAATACTCTCTTTCTCCTTAAATACTCCCATATTTTTTCTCTATTCACGCTATCAAACGCTGCTTTGAAATCTATGAACAATGCGTACATTCGTCCACCCTCTTTCCTTATTTCTCTTCCCACTAAATGCCGCAGGATGCACACATTGTCCATAGTACCTCTTCCTTTCCTAAACCCTGCCTAACAGTCTGGTCTTGCTTCCATCTCATTTCGTAACCTCTCATCTAGTATCATTGCATATATCTTGTACGCCGTATTGAGCAAGGTGATCCCTCGGTAGTTCTTCACATCACTTTTTTGCCCCTTTTTAAATAATGGGATTATTATACCTTCTCTCCAATGCCGAGGAAAATCTTTTCCTTTCCAAACTCCATCTACCACTTCCCATATCCTTTCTTTCACTCCTTCTGTCCCGAACATCCACGTTTCGTTCTGGATTCCAACCCTCCTGGTGCCTTTCCTCTTTTCAGTCTTTCAATCTGTCTCCACATTTCCTCCGTCGTTGTGATTCCTTTATTTATTTTGCAGCATTTTTCCTCACAACGTCCCAATAATTCCGTAAAATGTCTTTTCCATTCATGTATTTTGATTTTGCTACAGACTTCAGTCTTCCTTCTCCGTTCCTTGTTTATATATCACCATTCTTCTTCTTCTGTTTTCAGGGACTTTATTGTCTTCTCTTCTTCTTCTCGTTTTTCTCTTTTTCTTTCTTAACACTAACTCCTATAATTTTCTCTTGCTTTTAGGTACTCTTCTTTCCTTCCCTTGTTATTCTTCGATTTTTTTAATTTTTCCCTTGCTTTTCTCTTCAACTCACTACATTCTCCGTTCCATCCATTATGCCTCCCTTGCCATATGTATATCTTTCTTTTTTCCGTAGGTTCTACAATTAAGTTGCTCAGTTCCGCTATCATAGCTTCTATTTCTTCTTTCACTTCGAATTTCTTTTTTTCTAGTCTACTTCTGTATCTTTGAATTCCCTCTTCATCCCATATTCTTTTTTCTATTTCTTTTCTTTCGTTTCTTCTCTCTTTTTTTTCGTACTCTTGCTCTTTTCCTTTGATTTTTATTTCTAGTGGCATGTGGTCTGATTCTTATTCTTCATCTCCTTCCTTGTTTCCATTCAAAATTTCCCATCCCATTTCTTCTATTATCTGCCACAATATTTTCCCTTCTCTGATGTTTGCTTTATCTTTTGATCCTGATATAATTGCTCATCCCTGATGACGTAACCTCAAAATATTGCTGAATAAATCCTATCTTAAATGTGCAAAATATGATGAGTCTTTACTTTCCGAAGAGTGTCCGAAAAAATTAAGCACTGAGTCAATTTATTTTATTAATTAAATCAAGAATTGCAAAACTGAATACTTTGAAAGAAGTTTTGAAGTTACTGTAAGCCACGGCTGTAGAATATAAGGTTGGTACACTAAGGTAAATTTGGTGGAATAAAATTTGGCTGTCCTAGGCGGCTTTGGCGCGCTTTAGATCGTTTCGCCATCTGTGAATTACGATTACACACTAACATCTTTATGAATGAAATTTTCCACTACTGCAATGGCAAATTGACAACTGACAGGCTGCCAAAACTGTCATTCTACTTCTAGTTGATGTATTATGATAGAAATTACTGTTTAAATTGGTTTAACGAGATCGCCAACTCAGAGAGTACATTTTATACATAACAAACCTCGGCAACCGCAGGTTTGTTCGATATTTCTAGCACTATTGTTTCATGTAAACAATCATTAAACAAGCATGTGCGATGACCAGATAAACACAGATTCCTTCGAAAAACAAGTTGACAATGTACTGGTTAAGAACTTTTCGGTAATTGATTACATTAGCCACCGCGATTTTGCCGAATCCGCCCCCACAAAAACCTCATACAACACCCCTGATCACGTTCCTACCTAACCTTCAAATGTTGTACAAATATTTCTCATAACATTTGAAGAGTAGGAACGCGATCAGGGCAGGGGCGTTGTATGAGGGTTCTGCAAAAACGGTTTCAGAGAAGTCGCATAGTAGCTAGTGTAAACAATGGTCAAAGACGCTTCCAAAAGATTGAACGTTTAACATAAAAATTATTATTAAATGCTTTGATTAAATGTCAAAGTTGTCATTTATGTCGGTATAATTGTGTCCTTTTGATGTGGCAAAAGTTAATGCCTCTAAATACCGTAAGAGGGACCCATTCGATAACGCGCGTCATGGCCAACTGGTACGGAAAGAAATTATTCCACCTACCGGAACGTGAATGAATGAAAGATACTCAACCTATCTATTCTACAGCCGTGCTGTAAGCATAATAATTTTTTGATCAAAATGTTACCGAATATGATGAATTTTTACTTGTGATTTATCACTATCATTTATCATATTTTATGGATTTGCTGAGACAGGTGGCTCAAGAAAATTAATAAATGAGTCAATTTATTTTATTGATCAAATCAGGGCTCCATTTTCCCAGAAAATTTTGGGAATACGATACTGTTATTTTTAGTATTACAGTGCACCAATCCAGGTTGATATACGTGTCCTTGGAAAAATGTTGATGACATCTTCAGAAAATTGTGTCAAGGAAAAACTCGAAAATGCTGGATACGTTTCATTGTACTTAGGTGCGAGGGAAGTTCTGTCAAAACAACTTTTGACCAGTTTTGTAGAACTGAGGCCAATTTTCAATGTTCTGATATATTTTATTAATTATTACATTATTAAAGTATGAAATTCGTTATTGTTTTACTTTTCTTTTTCCAACACACTATCATTCCTTTTTGTTATTACTGTTCTATTTGCTGTCAGAAAACTATTATTCCTGAACTTGTGACCTAATTCCAGCTGAAACATTCCACGAATGCGAAAAGCACTGTAACAAAATTTAAATCGACCCAAATCGAAAACGGGCAATTAACGTTTTAAGTATTAATGCACTGTGGAATTGCAGTTCTGTGAAACTTTTATGGAATCTTCTTGCAAATACCAAGCAAAAAACGCAAGTAATAATTAGTTTCACATGGAAAATTAATAAAGATACAGGTGGCTTTTTAACAGAAAAACTTGAAGCTCATTTTTAATTCAAACCATCGTCACAGTTAAACTTCGATGTGGCGAGTGCAACACTGCAGATCTTGCTCGGAGGTGGCAAGGACTCTTCCTGAGTCCTTAAGAATACCTACTTCCAAAAAAATTATTATTATTTCAGATCGTGTAGTAGATTTTAAATACGGTGAATTGCTTTAGCAAGAAGTGTTGTGTTATTTCTGTATGTGATACGTAAGTGGAATTCTGGTACGTACCTTATATCATCAATACACGCAATTTTTTTTCTTTTTTCAATTTTAGACTATTTTTAACCACCTATTTTTCACTAATTTTTTTTATTAACATATAAGCACAAGATAGTTAGTGTATTATAATGAAAGAAAAAACAACAAAGAAGAAAGCGTCGTCTCAGAATCAGCAAAAACGTTAATCTAATAAATTACTCATAAATTAAGTATCCTCCCCTAATTCTTTACCCATGAAAATAATAACTACAGACGATAAAGCAATATTTGCTTTAATTCTAATTAATAAATGTTATAATTAGGGGTTTAACATAAAACAACATCGCCATAATTTCACCGAATGCAATAATTATGAAGCTTTATAAATTTAAAGAAATTAAAATAATAGGTGCTTCCTTTGTAATTAATAAAACGGGAAAAATTTCAATTAAATAAACATGAACTCAAACACAGTATATTAGACGTTGGAGACCGAAATTGTCTAGTTGACTAGAATCGTCGAAAAAGTAAAATTAAATTTTCTTCCAGTCATGGGCGTTCAGAAAAAATTCTGCTGGACAATAACAATCCAACCTAACATCCTCCTTCTGAAAACCTGTGGATTTTGGCCCGAAGAAGCTTTCAAACTAGATTTTTACACCGCACGCACCGTAATTCTCATCATAATATTCTTTCCAGTATCACTGATTTCCCAAGCAGCAAATTTGTTCTTCGTTCTTGACGACTTAGTCGCCCTCACTGGAACTATTTATTTGCTACTAACAGAGATTATGTGGGCTTTAAAAATGTACTACTTTGTCAAAAACATATCCTTAGTCAAAACATTGATGAAAATGTTAAACCATGAGTTGTTTCAACCACGAGACGTCGGTCAAGTTGTCTTGGTTCAACCAAACTTGGACTCCTGGAAGACCATCTACCAAATGTTTATGGTGACGGCTTTGGGTGGTAACTTATTTTGGGCAGCTTTTCCCCTATTTGATACAGCTAATGGAGAAAAGAGATTACCATTTTTAGCTTGGTATCCATACGATACGAGCATTTCGCCTTTTTATCAAATTACGTACGTCCATCAAGTGCTCACCTACACTTATATTGGTTTTACACACATCAACACTGATACTTTCATAGCTGCCTTAAATATGTATATTTCTAGTCAGTTTGATATTTTGTGTGATAACTTAAAGAATCTTCACTTTAGTAACAACGTGAAAGCGAATTTGGTTAAGTGTATCAAGCACCACTGGCTAATTCTAAGGTAAAATTTTTATAAATGAAACCTAATTACTTATTAATTATTATATTGTTTCAGTTTTGCGGAAAAGACCAGCCAGTTCTTGAAGTCAATCATTCTTTTGCAGTTTTTTATTAGTGTCATCATAATGGGAATAACACTTTTCCAGATAACTATTGTAGATTGTAGTGATAATGAATCTGACAACCAACACTAATAAATTTTTTCAGGTTGCGCCTTTTTCAGCGGAATTTTTGTTTCTGGTATCCTATGAAATGGGAATAGTGGCTCAAATATTTATATATTGTTGGTTCGGCAACGAAGTAGAAGTTAAGGTATAATTAACACTGTTTATTCCAACTTGTGTATACTTCACGGGCCAGGTAAGTTCTGTCTAAATAACTTTCAAAGTTTTTTGTTTTAGAGTAACAATGTGTCCTTTGCAATCTACGGATCTAAATGGCCCGATTTCTCTAAAGAGGTCCAAAAGAATGTCTGGTTTTTCATGTTCAGGTCACAGACGCCTGTTAGAATGTCATCACTAAATGTTTTTTACTTATCTTTGGAATCTTTTATGGCCGTAAGAGCTCCGATAAGTGTAGATAATTTACCATCAGTAATAATTTTTTAGATTGTGAAAACTTCTTGGTCTTATTTCGCACTACTTCAGCAAGTCAATTCCTAAAGAGAGAAACACTTTTATTTGTAGTTTTAGGTGGTTCAAGGCTATCAAAATCTGTTATAATAGTTGTTGATGTAGTATGTCTAACAATAAATCGTAAGATTTTTAACTCCTCCCAAAAATTTTGGATGCATGATCTAATCAATAATTCAACCAAGTGTCAAACGACTTTAGTGCTCTTAGTATGCATATTTTTTGTACTTTTTTGGAATTAGTAAATTTTCTATTAAAACAGAATTAATTCTACTTTTAGTTATACGAAATCTGTCATTACAAACCACTTTAATAGAATCTGTGTATAAAAGTAACCCATCACATCTCTAGGTAATTTTTAATGAAAATTAACTAAGTATATTTTTCTAGACCAAAAAAAATACTCTTCAAATCCTAGTGAATCACTGCTTCATTAAAAACAAAAAAATGGTTCAAGTTTACTTCTTTGAAAAAAAAAATTGCTTTGAGGTGCCGTCCTCAGAATACGGATGATATGAAATATAGTCAAAACAATTAGCCAACGGAAAAGAGTGTATTATTATCACTGTACATGTACATCGATTGTTTAAGTTACGTGTAGATTTGTTTAATTTGGGTAAATTGTCTCCTCAAAACAGACGACTAAAATTATTAATTAAGCCACAATGAATTAAGCCGTAAGTCACATTTTCTAGAAAATAAGATTCTTAATTTGATCAATAAAAAACTTCTGTAAAATAAAAACCAGCGGCATAAATAATACCCTCGCAGCCCCTGCATCGTACGGACACAATGTAAAATATATTTAAAGCACATGACTAACGGGATAAAATGTCCTTCAGCACTAGGTAATAGCAATCTGAAGCTCAAGTGTTTATTTATGTTTATACATCGAAAGAATGTCATGTAAAAATTAGTTTGATTGGAATGAGTTTATGTTCTCAAAACAGACGACCAAAATGAACCACAATCGAACAAAATGTTCTGAATATTATAATTCTTATTTTTATGTAAAGACGTGCGTATTCTGCATATTTTCAAGAAAATTTTTTATGACGTCATCAACATAATAATAATAATAATAATAATAATAAGGATTTATTTCCAACAGACTACATTGTCTATGGTGGAAACTTAATACACTAACATTATTAAAATTGTATCTAAAAGAACCTAACAAAATAGAAAAATATAAATGAAAAGGGAAAGCAAATTAGATCACAGCGAACCTTAAATCGTATTAAAGTTGTAACAAATAGCAGTTAGTTTTGCTTTATATTTTGTGTTACTAAAATTATCATAAAATATGTCTACATTATGATTTATTAAACAATTACACAATCTCAAACATCTCATAAGCGGGCTATTGAAATGATGGAATGTACTAGGCACCTGATAATAAAATGTTGTGGGCGTACGACAGTTTACACGGGGGCAAATAAACTGAATATTTTGTAATATTGATGGACAGAAAATTTTGCCACTTATTAATTTTTGCATAAAGGTTACACAGGCTACATTTCTCCGCGCATAGAGGAAACATTCGTCAACTATATTATATAACGCTTCTGATGCACAGTGTTGAGGCGGATATGAACCATACATCTTAAAATAAATAAATTTACAAAATTTTCGCAACACATTTTCAATAGGGTAAATGTGTACAAGAGTGCGCATATGTATAAGAGTACGCACTGATGATTTCTGCTTATTAGTGCCATCTGGGTAAGATGAAGTTATACCATTCAGAATTTAATGTTAAACCTGAGATAAAGGTGCAAAAGTGACCTGAATATAGTTTATAGTTTGGTCGTACTGACGATTTTATGTTCACACGTTGTGTGGATGTAATTTTTACCGCTCATAGTTTTAGTTTTTTGTAAGGTACGTACCACTTCTTTTATTTTACAGTAATAATTTTCATTAGTTGTAACTTTTAAAGTGTCGTTATACACTAACAGTTTTACACTTTCTGTCCATCAAAAGCTTTTAACTTTGAAAACATTAGGTTATGTACAAATGTACAAGAGTGCGCAGCGAGGTATTGTATAAGCGTGCGCATTGCTTGCAATATGTAGTCTAATAGTCTTGGAGATACATATCATACGGTAATGAATTATTTAACTCTACTACTTTGTACTGCTTCTCAAGTTGTGGGGTGGTGGTTATGGTGATTTTTTTTTTATTTTTACTTCCTGAGCGTGTTGTAATCGAGTCCGTCGACCGACTCTCTATTTTTACGTTTTCTCGTCTTTTCAAGACCCCTAGAGTACGAAGAAATAGGTCTCCCGTTTTATGTGTAGTCTGTAGTCACTTATTCCCATTTATTTTCACCTTAGAAACAAATATTTTTTCATAAAATGTAATGCGTACTCATAAGCGTTCAAATGCGCACTCTTGTGCAATGAACTGTCTAACAGTGCGCATTTACACATCTTGACAAAAATTGAAATTACTCTTAAAATATAGTGGTGTTGGGGCGTACAATTAAATATATCTGATCTCTAAACATGTATATAACGAACCCATATCATAAAATTTGTCTATCCAAAAAAATTAAAAAGTTGTTGACAGTTTTACACTAAGTGCGTACTCTTGTACACATTTACCCTAAGATTAATATAAATTTTATAATGTGGTGCCCAAACTACACAACAATACTCAAGCTTACTTCGAACTAACGCATAAAACAACAGTTTAAAACTAAATATATCTTTAAAATCCGCTCCATTTCTAAATATAAAACCTAAATTTTTAAGAGAACTGTTCACGATATGTTCGATGTGCGGTACAAAAGACAACGCAGAATCAAATATTACACCTAAATCCTTAAATTCATTACACACTTGTAGCGGCAAGCCATTTATGTTATAATAAAAGTTCAATTTATCTACCTTTCTTGTTATTCTCATAATTTTGCACTTGTCAATGTTAACATCAAATTTATTATTATGACACCAAGTAATGAAACTATCTAAACTTGATTGCAACTTCAGACAATCATGAACAGACTTTATTATATTTACTATCTTTAGATCATCTGCATAAATAAAGCTTTTTGTTTGAAGATTCGTTACGACATCATTAAAAAATATGGTAAAAAGCAGAGGACCTAAATTGGAGCCTTGTGCCACTCCACTATCTACTTCTATTTCAAAAGACTTACATCCACCATACTCAACATATTGTTTTCTCCCAATAATCATTGACCTCAATAATAACAACAAATCATTACAAAATCCAAACATTTCAAGTTTTTTTAAAAGCACGCAATGATTCACCCTATCAAACGCTTTTGTCAAATCAGTATATATCACATCTACTTGGAAGTTATTATCTAAAGCTGATGACACAAATTGCGTGAATTCATATAAATTAGTGGTGGTTGACTTCCCTTTGACAAAACCATGTTGTTGTGGGACAATGTAATTTATAACATGTGAATATATTACATTAGAAAATATAGTTTCAAATAATTTGGAAAAGTTTGACAAAAGCGTTATGGGTCTATAATTTTTAACACTTGATTTATTGCCTGACTTAAAAATTGGACACACTTTTGACAATTTCCACTTGTACGGATATGTGGATGATTTTAACACTAAATTAAAAATATATTTAAGGGGTATTAACAAACATCTAATACAATCAACTACAAAAAACGCAGGTATACCATCAGGGCCAGATACTAAATTAGGTTTAAGTTTTTTTGCTGCTTACAGAATGTCATCGTCATTAATAGAAAATAAATGCAAAACAGAGGTAATATTACAAACTTTTTGAAGCGAGATAGAGACACAGTTGTTATCACCACAAATATCACAAATGTTAGTATTCATATCACTATTATTATCACATCCAGGAACGTTGTTATCACAGAAAACGGTGGAAAAATTGTAAGCGAAAGCGTTGACAATCTCTTGTGGAGAGGTCACAACATCGTCACCATATGTCATTTCGTTTAAAATCACGTGAGATTTTGTTTTAGTTTTCACAAACGACCAAAACTTTTTTGGATCATATTTGATGGAGTTTTCACTGTTGTTTACAAATCGCAAATATTCATTACGACTTTCACTACAGATGGCACGTCTAAGATTTTTTACTTTATTAATATGATACAACTCTTTGTTTTTCCTATACAAATTCCAGTGTTTCTTCTTTTCATTTATTTTATCAATGATAGATTTAGTGAACCACGCAGGGTATTTAGCACGTTTGGTATTAACACTACATTTGGGTACATGTTGATCGAATAAATCAAAGATTATTTTATAAAGATAATCACACGCAACATCCACATCCTCGATGCTTTCAATAAATGACCATTGAACTGACGATACAGCCGCATATAGATCTTGCAAGTTGGCTTTATAGAAGTTAAATTTGATGACTTCTGATTTTTGCTTTACAGAAATATTTTCTTGAAGACTTAGTGAAACAGACGAATTTAATGCAGGATGATGTGGATCCTCTGGTACTAAAGGAAACTGACTTTGCTGGCAAACAACATTGAAATGATCAGTTGACAAAAAAAGATCTAATATCCTTGTATATGTATTAGTAATTCTGTTGTGTTGCCTAATACTATTTAAAGAAATAAAGTTACTATAAAGGTTGAATAAATTAGATGTCTTCATTTCTCTCACACATTCAGCGTATTCAGAGATATTGAAATCGCCCAAAATAATTAACGGGTTCGAGAAATCCAAGTGATTCTCAAGGTGTTCAAAAATTTGTATGTAGTTCCCAGTTTGCTGTGATGGCGGAATATAAATTGCGACCACCGTTATATTTGATTTTTTGATTGAAATTTTGGCTGCCACTATTTCAATTTGTGGACTAGGTGATATAACATCTAGTTTCTTAATAGCAAATTTGTCGTTTACTGCAATCAAAACCCCGCCACCTCTTCCACATAATCTGTCATCTCGAACTACATTAAAATAACTTGGAAATAGTTCACTAGACAACACGCCACTGGTTAACCATGTCTCTGTTAAGACTACAATTTCTTCATCAATGGTACATACATTAGTATAGAAGTTACTTATTTTAGTATTTAGACCCCTAACATTTTGATAAAATATATTGAATATATAACTTGATTTTTGCAGAGGTGTCGTAGAAGTCTGTTGGGATCCTAAGCGTTTTTTATCTCAATCTTTTGAATTTTCGGCACTCCGTTTGAATATTTTAAAATTATGCCAGTTTCACCATCTTTTTTGCGATTTCTAAATTCATTTCTTATTAAAAAGCATTGATTCTGCTGACGCTTCGTTAAATCTCTATTAAGGTACAACTGATTTTTACGATTATAAGTTCTTAGGACTTCATATGCATGCTGAGGAGTTGCAAACGAGATTCTCATTGGGCGTATTTTATCATTCCTAAACATACCTAATCGACCACAAGACATAATTTTTATATTATTTTCATTCTCATTACCATTGGAAAAGATCGTTTTCTTAACACGACTCATGTCATCTTCATCTCGTTTAATTTGAGTGTTTTCCTCTGATTCTGGTAAATTAAAAAGAATTAAATTGTATGATCGACGATTTCTTTCCTCAACCTCATTGATTACTTCTTCAGTCGATAAAATGTCTTTATCAGGTAATGGCACCTTACCTTGGTTATTTTTCACTTCCTCTAGCTGAGTTTTTAGTGAATCCAACTCGGTTTTCAATTTATTAATTGTTGTTACTACATCACAATTATCACAGAAATAATGGATTTTTCGAGAATTAGAACGTACACATTCAATTTCAATCGCTGCTAATCCAGAACATCCAGTATGGACCAATTTTCTGCAGATGTCACATGCCACACAATCCGTGTTTCTTGTTTTCTTTCCACAAACCGTACACATAGACATATTTATTACTTCAATCACAACAATACCAGTAAAAATCAATAATAATTTCAATGATATCGATAAAAATGTCAGCGACAAAAATATGCGTGTGTACTCGTAGAGATGTACCGACACAGCTATGTGTCGGTACATCTCTACGCTATGAACAATACTAGTCACAGCATTGTGCTATGAACAATACTAGTCACAGCACAAAAGAAAAGTGGTCACAGCGGCTTACCAATGTGAAAAAAAAAGGAAGGACTAAATTCGGCATCGAACCCACGACCGCAGGTCGCCGTTTTCTCCGATATTATTATACCTTGCAAATGTTTTTGCGAAAAAATTGATCGTACACTACAAGTACAGAGGTATATTTTTGTATAACATTCAAATCATTTTAAATACAATTCATTGAAATAACGTCATCAAATATATATACAAAATTTGACAACAATCGGTCCAGCAGTTTCGGACACTAGATATAAACAGAGAGACAGGCGGAAACGAGTGACTACTTTTCTCGGACTGTAGAGGTCATGAAACGTTGAAAAAACATAAAAATGGCCATTTTCTTTCTTTTGAAGTGTTAAGTCATAATGAAAAGGAAAAACACTTGTTTGTTTCGTCGGACGATGCAAATTTTGGAAATGGAGACAGACGAGGGAATCCAAACAATGGAGTACAGCAACAATTCAGCAAGTTCAATCATGAAACGAGGAGACAGCGAAAACAGAGATTTTAGTATAGTTAAATATTTTGAATCGTTCCAAGAAATTGAGAAAAAAACACAACAATTTATTTTGTTCATTAAAATAATTTCCAAATTTTTGAAAACACTAAATTTCAACTATACGAAAAGGAATTTTTCCTGCAACCTTATAAAAAAAATGGTCGAAGGCTATTTCGACCGAACTCCTCTGGCCTTTGAAGTATAATCCGACAAATCCAGCTCTTAAAAAAATCTTAAAATTTGATTTTACGATTTTCGCCTTGAAATAACCTTGTGAAGTAAACACCAGCAGCATAAATAACACCCCCGCAGTCCTGCGCCGTACAGACAATGTAACTTATATTTAAAATACTTAACTAATGGGATAAAATGTCCTTCAGCACTAGGTAATAGCAGTCTGAAGCTCAAGTGTTCATTTATGTTTATACATCGAAATAATGTCACGTAGAAATTAGTTTGATTTGGATGAGTTAGTTCTAAAAACAGGGGACTAAAATCTATCTATCTATCAACACAACACATTAAGGCCGGTCGCTACGCTTTCTGAGTGGAATTTTCGGCCTTATGGTTTTGAAATTTTAAATATATGTTGTCCATAACTTTCTTTATATAACGGAAGGGCAATTTTGTTAAAAACGATTTGTTATCATACTTTTCTTTTAATTTTAGTGAAATTTTTGCTTAACGTTTATTTAAAAATCAATATCTCAATTATTAAAGGAAATTTCAGAACACAGTTTTCAACACTCTTTTCACCTCACACAACTCTAGAAGTCGTACCAGATATATCGTCGACTTTTTTTGTTAGAAACGATACACAGTAAAAAAAAATTGTGCCGTAGAAGTTGTTCACTATTATTTTTACTATATCTAAGTCGCAACAAATAAAGTCAAAAATAGACCTGGTGCGATTTCTAAAGTTTTCCAAACTGAAAACAGTGGTGAAAACCCCGTTTCAAAATTTCCATAAATAACTGAAATATTGATTTTTTGAAATACGTGGTGCAAAAATTCCACTAAAATTAAAATAAAAGTATGATCACATTTTGTTTTTAACAAAATTGCTCTTCCGTTATATAAAAAAAGTTATGGACAACATATATTTAAAATTTCAAAACCGTAAGTCTGTTAATAATGGAGATATTATATTCTGAAAATAAACCGAAAATTACACTCAGAAATGTAGCTACATTAACACAATCCGACAAAATGTTCTGAATGTTACAATTCTTATTTTATCATTATTAAATGGGGTTACTCGTTCTTAATTTGACCGATAAAAAATAAACATAGATAATACACAATTCGAGAGAAAAAGAAAAAAAAAAGGAAAAAACGGAAGACCAAGTTTGGAATCGCACGCGCGACATCCGGTTCGCAGTCCTGAGTCTTCGTCATTAGACCACAACCGCGATACCTTATGCTAATAGTAAACTACTATTACAGCGTACCTCATATTTTTTCAAAAATTTGGACGATTAGGGAAAAACTCAAAGTGAATTCGTATACGTATTATTGTGTAACACTTAAATCAAATAAACATAGAATTCTTTGAAATGACGTCATCAAAATGTTGGTGGGACTGATTAGACAAATTTTGGTTTGCGTTTTACCATGTACATGATATTCCTAATATAAATACAAAATTTGACAACAATCGGCCCAGTCCTTATCTCTCTAATAAAAATGCGAGACGGTGGACGGACAGACAGACAGACGGAAACGGGAGACCTATTTCTTCGTACTCTGGGGGTCATGAAAGAGCAAAAAAACGTAAAAGTTGACGGACTCGATTACAATACTTCCTTTACACACGCTCAGGAAGTAAAAATTCTCACAATTTAAACAACCGTCATAGTTTTTTTTTTACAAACCATCTCCGCAATTTTTCTTGTTTTGTTCCTATAAAGTCAAAAATATCAAAAAAATTGGGTAATTTTAACCAAAAAAGATGACACTCCCTTTTTCTCAGTTTAGATAAGTTTTGTGGTGTGAATATGATTTCTTAAGTAATGTTGCAATACTGTTGCCTTGTAAATCGATTATTGTTGAACAGGAAGGTGATTATTCCAAACTCGTCTTCTAATTATTGTACTTTACCTAAAAATTTCCAAAGCCATATTTTCTACAAGAAATATTTTACTTTACCTCCACACATTTTGGCAACAACTTATGAGTTTAAATTAAATACGTGGATAATAAATGAACTTTTCTTGACTAAAAACGTGTCCGTACGTTTCGATCGTCAACAACAACAGAGAAATAGTCATGTTAAAATCGGTAATTTGCTAATCCAATAATTTATTCATTAATTAAGTATTCTCCCCTGATTCTTTACCCATGAAAATAATTACAGACGATAGACAAATTGTTGCTTTAATCCTAATTAATAAATGTTATAATTGAGGGTTGAACATAAAAATACTATCACAATAATTTCAATGAATGCAATAAGTATGAAACATTTATAAATTTAAAAAAATTAAGATAATTAGTACTTCTCTATGTAATTAATAAACCCGGAAACTTTCAATTAAATAAGCATGAACTCAAACAGAGTATATCCAGCGTTGAAGACCCAATTTGTTTAGTTGACCACAATCATCGACAAAGTAAAATTACTTAACAGTTAAGTCATGAACGTTCGCAAGAAATTCTGCTGGAAAATAACAATCCAACCTAACATCCTCCTTCTGAAAACCTTTGGATTTTGGCCTAAAGATGACGAAGCTTTCAAGCTAGATTTTTACACAGCACGCACCATAATCCTCGTTACAATATTTTTTCCAGTATCACTGTTTTCCCAAGCAACAAATTTGTTCTTCGTTCTTGACGATTTAGTCGGGCTTACTGGAACTATCTACTTGCTACTGACAGAGATTATGTGGGCTTTAAAAATGTACTACTTTGTCAAAAACATATCCATAGTCAAAACACTGATGAAAATGTTAAACCATGACCTGTTTCAACCACGAGACGCCAGTCAAGTTGTCTTGGTTCAACCAAACTTGGACTTCTGGAAGACCATCTACCAAATGTTTATGGTGACGGCTTTGGGTGGTAACTTATTTTGGGCAGCTTTTCCCCTGTTTGATAGAGCTAACGGAGAAAATAGATTACCATTTTTTGCTTGGTATCCATACGATACGAGCATTTCACCTTTTTATGAAATTACGTACGTCCATCAAGTGCTCACCTACACTTATATTGGTTTTACACACATCAACATTGATACTTTGATAGCGGCCTTCAATATGTACATTTCTTGTCAGTTTGATATTTTGTGTGATAACTTGAGGGACCTGCACTTTAGCGATAACGTGAAAGACAATTTGGCTAAGTGTATCAAACACCATTGGCTGATTCTAAGGTAAAATTTGATAAATAAATTCCAGTAACTTACTTTATTTTTTCAGTTTTGCTAAGAAGGAAAGTCAGTTCTTAAAGTCGATCATCCTTTTACAGTTTTTTATTAGTGTCATCATAATGGGAATAACACTTTTCCAGATAACTATTGTAAATTAACAACTATAGTGATGGTGAATTTAATTAAGCAACACTAATCAACTTTTTCAGGTTGCACCATTCTCAGTGGAATTTTTATTTCTTGTATCCTATGAAATGGCAGTAGTGGCGCAAATATTTATATACTGCTGGTTTGGCAACGAAGTACAAGTTAAGGTAATTAGAAACCATACCCCATAAATTAAAAAAAAAAATTAAACAGTAAAGAAAATTGTCAGAAGGCATAAGTATCAAGAAAAATTCTTTTGATGTCTCGTAGCTCCAAGAATGTGGAAAAGTAAATGCTCAAAATATTAATCCAGACTTACTTTACCTCAAATAACTCTAAAAACGTTTTTTGTTGCAGAGTAACAATGTATCCTTCGCAATCTACGAATCTAAATGGCCCGAATTTTCCAAAAAGATACAAAAAAATATCTGGTTTTTTATGTTCAGGTCACAGACGCCCCTTAGAATGTCAGCACTAAATGTTTTTTACTTATCTTTGGAATCTTTTATGGCGGTAAGAGTTCTCATAAGCTTAGAGAAATTGTCATAAGTAAATAATTTTTTAGATTTTGAAAACTTCGTGGTCTTATTTTGCACTCCTTCAGCAAGTCAACTCCTAACAAGAGAAAAACACTTTACTAATGGTCTTAGGTGGTTCAAATCTATGAAAAACTGTTAAATAATTGTTGATCTAATATTTATGTACTCTTATATAAAACAATAAATCGTATGCAAATATTTATGACCGTGGGTGACTGTAGAGATATTCCATATGCACAACGCCATCTGCAATAAGTGCCGCATAGCTGTCCGTAAACCATTACTACAGGCGCAATTATTTTGCCGCTTCTTGTTCATTGATCAATATTTCCTAAAATTCTTATTATATTAATTCTGATCTCTCCATTCCTTAGGACTAATTGACCTTAAATTATTTGATTGTTATATAGTTTTTACCCTGTCGAGCATTGTTTGTTTCCCTTTAAATCAATACAATTTTTATATTATCCATAAACGTTCCACGTAAATACAGCTACAACATTTCATAAACGCGGAACCCGGTGTAGCAAAATTTAATCGACTCAAATCGAAAACGTGTAATTAACGCTTTAAGTATTAATGCACGGTGGAGTTGCAGTTCTATGAAACTTTTACGGAGTCTTCTTGCAAATCTCAAGCAAAAAACGTAAGTAATAATTACCTTCGCATACAAAATTAATACAAGTGACTTTTCAGTAGGAAAACTAATTGTAAGCGACCAGAGTAATATTGGCATATCTTCCGCGGAAGCGGCAAGATGCACATCCTGATTAATCCTTTATAAGATTTATTTGGTTTATGAATGAGCTTGAGGTACGTATTTTACGTCAACAGAATTTACCCTTTAGAAATTACCTCCGCCGTTTTTAATTTTTAGTGAATTTACAACAACAAAAAAGAAATTAATTTGTCGATCAACAGTTAAGTCATGGACGTCCGCAATAAATTCTGCTGGAAAACAACAATCCAACCTAATCTATTCTTTCTGAAAACTTTTGGATTTTGGCCTAAAGATGATGAAGCTTTCAAACTAGATTTTTACACAATACGCACCATAATCCTCGTTACAATATTTTTTCCAGTAGCACTATTTACGCAAGCAACAAATTTGTTCTTCGTTCTGGACGACTTAATCGCCTTCACTGGAACCATCTGCATGCTTCTAATAGAGAGTTTGTGTGCTTTTAAAGTTTACTACATTGCCAAAAATATGTCCATTGTGAAAACACTGATGACAATGTTAAACGATGACCTTTTTCAACCACGAGACGTCAGTCAGGTTGCCTTGGTTCAACCAAATTTGGACTTGTGGAAGAACACCTACGTAACATTTATGGTCATTGCTCTTGGTGCTAACTTATTTTGGACAGCTTTTCCCCTACTTGATAAAGCTAGTGAAGAAAATCGATTACCATTTTTGGCTTGGTATCCATACAACACGAATATTTCGCCTTTTTATGAAATAACTTACACCCATCAAGTGCTCACCTATATTTATATTTGTTTTACGCATATCAATATTGATACTTTCTTAGCTGCTTTAAATACGTACATTACTAGTCAGTTTGATATTTTATGTGACAATTTGAAGAAACTTCACTTTAGTGACAACGTGAAACTTAATTTAGTAAAGTGTATCAAACACCATTGGCTGATTCTAAGGTAAAATTTTGATAAATAAAACAAGCTAATTTAATATATTGTTTCAGGTTTGCTGAAAAGGCCAACCAGTTTTTTGAGTGGATCATTCTGATACAATTTTTTATTAGTGTTGTCATAGTGGGAATAACTTTATTCCAGATAACTATTGTAAATTGTAGTGCTAACGAATCTGACTTACCTCTACTAATCAACTTTTTCAGGTTGTACCGTTCTCAACGGAATTTTTGTTTCTTGTATTTTATGGAGTGACAATAGTGACGCAAATATTTATGTATTGTTGGTTTGGCAATGAAGTGCAAGTTAAGGTAATTGAAAACCAACACAGTAAAATTTTAGTAAATAAAAAATAAGGTAGTATACTTACTTCAATATTTTGAAAGCTTTTGAAAAAAAATCAAAATTGTGTAAAAAACTTGTTGTGTCTGTGCTTCAGGGACGAGGTAAGTTCTGTCGAAATAACTTTTATCCAGTCTTTGTTTTAGAGTAACAATGTCTCCTTTGCAATCTACGAATCTAAATGGCCCGATTTTTCTAAAAAGATTCAAAAGGATATCTGGTTTTTCATGTTCAGGTCACAGACACCTCTTAGAATGTCAACACTGAATGTTTTTTACTTATCTTTGGAATCTTTTATGTCGGTAAGCTTTCATAAGGGTAGAGAATTTATCATGAACAATGAATTTTTTAGATTTTGAAAACCTCTTGGTCTTATTTCGCACTACTTCAGCAGGTCAATTCCTAAAGGGAAAACACATTTTATACGTCGCCTTAGATGCTTCAAGGTTATGAAAAACATTTACTTATTTTATAAAAAATAAAATGTTTACGTATAAAAACATTTACGTTTTTCTAAAATACTTTAAAATATCTAACTTTAATTTCATACTATTAAATTATGTGCACATCTTAACATTAAAATAAACCATTTTATTAAAAAATAAATTTATTAACCCGATTATTATTATACGGCAATTCACATTTTAAGCGATTTTATTTATAAACACATCATTTCATATAAACAGCACTATCTGCGATAAGTGTCACATAACTGTTACTAAACCCTTACTACAGCTGCAATTATTTTGCCGCTTCCTCATGACTGATCAAGGTATAAATAAGTTATTTTTTTAGATTCTCTGACCTTCTTGGCCATGAAATATATCATAAAAACATTAGTCGAAGATTGCGTCGACAGAACTTCCCTCGCCGATAAAGTTCAGCTTGTCAAATCCAGCAATTTCGAAAAATTAAAAGATTTGATTTTGAGAATTTTATTTTTTTTATGACAACTATTACAAGTTAAAATAAAAATATGTATATAATGTTTGAATAAAGGTAAAGAAACGTGCTAACCGTTTGTTACAAGTGAGTTTTTCTATTACAAAATTTTGTGTTGATGTCATCCAAATTTTTGCAAAACGCATATATCAGTTTGGATAGATACATTGTAATACTAATAATAAAAGTATTGTATTATTGTTATCCTTGAATAAATATTTTTTAGGAATTTCAATAACCGGATCACAATGCCGACGGTCCAGACTTTTTTATTGCTCTAAGTTCCGCTTCTTGAATAAAACACTACATTTTATTTTGATTTTCGATGTTGTAATTCACATTTGGTTAATTGTAATTTGTCTAGATCTAGGGGAGGCTCAGCATCTCTTAGCCTCACCCTAACTACGGCCTTGTCTAGGGGTTATGAAATATCGAGAAAACATAAAAGTACTAAATTGCCCGATGAACTCCATTACTGTACGTCCTTATGTTATCCTCGAAAAGAAAAACAACTTGAAAGTGTTTATGTTTATATATCGGAAGAATGTCACTTAGAAATTAGTTTGGTTTGAGTTCGTCCTTTTAAAACAGAGGATTAAGTAGTGTGCTACAAAGGACAAAATGTTCTAAATATCATTGTTATAATTTTATTAAATACAGACGCTTGTATTTTCACATTTTCGGGAAAATGGTGGTGACTTGTTTTTCATTTGATCAATAAAAAATTGGTCGAAACTTGTTTCGACAGAACTTCCCTCGCTCCTGAAATACAATGATAATTATTTTTAATCACCCTGTATACGCAAATCCAAAAAATTTGAATCGAATGATTAATCACAAAAAGAGACTCATCATATTTTGTACATTTTAGATAGGATTTATTCGGCAAACTTTTGAGCTGACGACATCAAATTTTTGGAGGGGATAACCAAATATATTTTGACTAAAGATTTATGACACTCTTTATAGCCTTAAAACATCTGCAACATTTCAAAGCATTCGGTTTTGCAGATTGAAAATTAAATTGCAAAATGTTGTTTTATAATTTTGATTTTTTTCCAAAAATCTGGACGTTTGGGGTAAAAATTCAATTCGGAGTCGTAAACTACATCTGTACAAGTACAGACTCATCACATTTTAGTTAGGATTTATTCGGCGCAAAATTTTGAGATAATGTCAATTTTTGATAAACAGATACATTTTGATTAAAAAGCTACCACACTTACAATAACTTCAAAACGTCTGCAAAATTTCAAAGTATTCAGTTTTGCATTTTTTGATTTAAAAAATAAAGGGATTGACTAAGTCATTAATTTTTTTAAGACACACTGTATAAGCAAATCTAAAAAAATATTAATGCAGTGCATACTTTGCACATTCAAGATAGAATTTGTTCAACAAAATTTTGAGGTGACGTCATCAATTTTTTAGAAAGATGAGCAAATACACTTTGATCGAAAATTTAGCATGCCTATGATAACTTTAAAATATCTGCAAAGTTTCAAAGCATTCGATTTTGCAGTTCCTGATTAAACCAATAAAATAAATTCACACATTTATTAATTTTTTTGAAACACCCTATATAAACGAATCCAAAAAATGTGAATAGAATGATAAATCACAAATACAGACTCATCATATATTTTACATTTTAGATAGGTTGTATTCGTCAAAATTTTGAGTTGACGTCATCAATTTTTTGGAGGAGATGACTAAATATATTTTGATAAAAAAACTATCATAACCTTAAAACATCTGCAAGTTTTTAAAGCATTCAGTTTTGCAGGTTCAAAATTAAATTGCAAAATTTTGTTTGATGATTTTGAATTTTTTTCCAAAAATCTAGACGTTTCGGGTAAAAACTCAACAATATATAAAACAATTACTCAGGTCACATGATAAAATTCAACCATTCAGAATCGAAGCTTGACGGACTAATCGCACATTACTTTTAATTTGAATGAAATCTTTAATTCACCTACCATAAACCGTCCTTAAGTGAAGTGGTTTACAAAGACGAATTCCCAATTTTATCAAATTTTATTAACAAACTGGGGTCCAAAATTCTTCGTCATTTAGTTTTTCGTTGCCCTGCCAACTTCTTATTTCTATTTGATCCAAGAAATTTTTTTTTGTCCACTTAAGTCTAAAATGTTCAAAGTTTGGAGTTGGTATTTTACCTAAACAGGACTTTTTCTTTGCAAACCTCCAAGCCGATTATTATTGAACAGGTGATTATTCCAAAATCGTTTTCAGATTATATTTACCCAAAAATAAATATATTTGCTAAAAGAAATATTTTACTCTATCTTTCACACATTTTGACAGCAACTTGTTAATTTAAATTAAATACATAGACAACAAATGCATTTTTTAGATCAGAAAAAGTGTCAGTGCGTTTCTATTCACAACGACAAAGAAGAAAAATAATTTTTAAATCATCATAAACTAATATAATCACTTATTCACGAGTTAAATTTCCTCCCTTGATTCTTTACCCATGAAAATAATTACAGACGACAAAGAAATTGTTGCCTTAATTCTAATTAATGAATGTTATAATTGGGGGTTTTGCATAAAAATAATTTCACCATAATTTCACTGCTATAATTATGAAACACTAACTTACATAGTTTAAAGAAATTAAGATAATAAGTACTTCCCCTTGCAATTAATAAAACCGGGAAAGTTATAATTAATTAAGCATGAACTCAAACACAGTATATCCGACGTTGGAGACCCAAATTGTCTAGTTGACAACAGTCGTCGATAAAGTAAAACTTACTTACTTGCAATTCATTTTTTTGCCGTCATGGAGGTTCAAAAAAAATTCTGCTGGAAAATAACAATCCAACCTAACATTCTCGTTCTGCAAACGTTTGGATTTTGGCCTAAAGATTATGAAGCTTTCAAACTAAATTTTTACGCAGTACGCACCATAATTCTGGTTATAATATTTTTTCCAGTAGCACTGCTTACGCAAGCAACAAATTTATTCTTCGTTCTGGACGACTTAATCGCCCTCACTGGAACCATCTACATGCTGCTAATAGAGATCTTGTGTGCTTTTAAAATTTACTACCTTTCCAAACACATGTCCATTGTGAAAACCCTGATGAGAATGTTAAACGATGACCTTTTTCAACCACGAGACGTTAATCAGGTTGCCTTGGTTCAACCAAATTTGGACTTGTGGAAGACTACCTACATAGTGTTTATGATCATGGCTCTCGGTGGCAACTTATTTTGGGCAGCTTTTCCTCTACTTGATAAAGCTAATGAAGAAAATAGATTACCATCTTTAGCTTGGTATCCATACAACACGAACGTGTCGCCATTTTATGAAATAACTTACACCCATCAAGTGCTTACCTACACTTATATTTGTTTTACGCATATCAATATTGATACTTTCATAGCTGCCTTAAATACGTACATTTATAGTCAGTTTGATATTTTATGTGATAACTTGAGGAAACTTCACTTTGGTGACAACGTGAAAGCCAATTTGGTTAAGTGTATCAAACACCATTGGCTGATTTTAAGGTAAAATTATAGTACATATAACAGGGTAACTCAATATATTCTTTTAGGTTTGCTGAAAAGACCAACCGGTTTTTTGAGTCGATCATTATGATACAATTTTTAATTAGTGTTATCATAATGGGAGTAACTCTATTCCAGATAACTATTGTAAATTGTAGCGGTAACGAATCTGATTTACCAACACTAATAAATTTTTCCAGGTTGTACCGTTCTCAACGGAATTTTTGTTTCTTATATCGTATGGGGTGGCGATAGTGACGCAAATTTTTATGTATTGTTGGTTTGGTAACGAAGTGCAAGTTAAGGTAATTAAAATTTTTAGTAAATAAAAAGATAAGAAAAAATCACAAGGAAATTATTTAATGCTTTAAAAATTGTGTAAGAAACAGTATTGTTGTGTCTGTGCTTCAGGGACTAGGTAAATTCTGTCCAAATAATTTCTAACCAGTTCTTTCTTTTAGAGTAACAATTTATCCTTCGCAATCTACGAATCTAAATGGCCCGATTTTTCAAAAAAGATCCAAAAACATATCTGGTTTTTTATGTCCAGATCACAGACGCCTCTTAGAATGTCAGCACTAAATGTTTTTTACTTATCTTTGGAATCTTTTATGGCGGTAAGAGCTGTCATAAGTGTAGAGAATTTACCGTAAATACATAATTTCTTAGATTTTGAAAACTTCGTGGTCTTATTTTGCACTCCTTCAGCAAGTCAATTCCTAACAAAAGAAAAACATTTTAGTGATGGTCTTAGGTGGTTCAAGTCTATGAAAAACTGTTAAATAATTGTTCATCTAATATCTATATACTCTTAAATAAAACAATAAATCGTATGCAAATATTTATGACCATGGGTGACTGTAGATATTCCATATATGCACAGCGCAATCATCAATAAGTGCCGCATAACTGTCCCTAAACTCTTACTGCAGCGGCAATTGTTTTGCCGCTTCTTGTTCATTAATCAAGATTTCCTAAAATTGTCATTATTAGAGAGCGGATTTCTAGGTTTAATGCTTTTTGTGAAAAAAATAAGCACTTCAAAACTTTTTTATATCTGTAACTATGATACAATTTGGAGTCATTTGACACATTTTTTTTATGCTTATTTGCTTTTTTCAATTTTATGCATATTAAAACTTATATGCTTATTTAATGCTTTTTTCGACGAATATGAGTTTTAATGCATATTTTGTTCAAATGCCGGCCTTGTCGGGATGACAAATACTTGTTAGTTAGGCGTATCGTATCGTATGCATTTTACCTGGACTTGACCATTGAAGTACACTTACCCAAGACCCTTTCTGTGAATAGGTTCCGGTCGTTTGGGTAATAAAATTTTATTATAGGATTGGAAAAATACTCCATAGACTTTATGACTTTAAATCCTTACTTCCGTTGATAATGAATTAAAGCTTTTAACCAGATGTTCTTTTTCGGCATTTTGCGGCAAGACCGTTGAAGATTTTCTAGAAAAAAGGATTATTGTACCCAACTACCTACCTTAAAATTTTTCTAATGGAAACTTTTAAGTAAATGAACCGTTTATTTCACAACCATCAGTCTATCGCATCTGTCGTAATACAGTGTTATACGTGGTTCTCCCTTGTTACATGTTGAGTTCTTTTTGGTAATATTACTAATATTTTAAAAGAATGCCGAAAGTAAAATCGACGCCGGATGAGTGGATAAGGGATTTTCCAGAATTAAAATTAAAAAACAACAAAATATTCTGCAGAGTTTGTGTGAAAACCGTAAGCCCACTATTTTTTTTATCTATTTTCGTTTGTTAATCCTGTATATGTACGTTGTTTTAGATTCAAAGTGATAAAAAATATAACGTGACGCAACATGTCAGAACGACTCTTCATGTAGAAAGGAAGAAAATGTTTGAAGTTTCTAAAATTAAACAGCAGACCATACATGAATCTGTTGCATCTACTTCCACAAAAGATGAGCCGTTTCAGTTTAATTTCGATTTATGTAAAATGATGATCCAGTCCAATATACCTTTAAAGAAATTGGAGAAAGGCCCTCTTCAAGAATTCCTTGAAAAACACTTCAATCGACATATTCCGGTTGAAAGTACTCTCCAAAAAAATTATGTAGGCCCAGTGTTTCAGCAAGTTTACAACGAAATTAAACATCGCATTGGAGATAATTATTTATGGTTCGCTGTCGATGAAGCAACCGATAGTTGTGGAAGATACGTGGCAAAGTTTAATTGTTGGAATCTTAAATGAAAATTTCCCTAAGCGGGGGTAAGTTTAAAAATGTTAGATAAAAAAAATGGCAATACGATTACCAGATTTGTAAATGACAGTCTTATGTCACTATTTTTGCCATTAAAATTTTATTGATGATCTCGCATACAGCTCGTTATATGTTGAAAGCAGGGAATAATCTAAAAATATTGTACCCCAATTTAATTCACTCTACTTGCATTGCCCACGGTTTAAACAGAGTGGCTGAAGAAATACGTTTGCAGTTTCCTACTGTTAATAAATTAGTGGCAAATGGTAAAAAGATTTTTGTTAAAGCCCCAATAAGAGTGCAACATTTTAAGGAAAAATTTCCAAACATACCATTGCCCCCAGAGCCGATTATAACGAGGTGGGGAACATGGTTACAGGCAACATTTTATTATGATAAATATATCAATGAATTGGAGGAAGTAGTTACGGAGTTTAGTGAAGATTCTTCTCAATCGGTTAAAGATTGCATAAATATTTTAGAAAACAAAGATTTGCGACAAGATCTAGCTTTTCTAAAAAGCAATTACCAATTCGTATGTGAGGTAATAGAAAAGTTAGAAAAACCCAACATGTTGTTGGTAGATGCCATAAACTCAGTGAAAGAATTTAAACACCAAGCAAACGCAGTAAGGGGTGATATTGGTAATAGAGTATCTCAAAAACTTGAGAAGTGTTAAATAAAAATGCAGGTTTCGGTGTTCTTTCCGACGTTGCTCGTGTTTTACATGGCCAGAAGGTGGAAAATTTGGAGTTAGATTCAACATTAGTTGCAAAATTCAAATTTGCGCCAACAACGAGTGTGGATGTTGAACGCACATTCTCCAATTTTAAACACATTTTAAATGATCGGCGAAAAAATTTTACAGTGGACAACTTGGAACATATTACAATCATAAATTGTTTTAAAGAAAACTGGAATATTACGTGTGTAAAATATAAAGTCTAGGATTATTGTAACAATATTTTATCCAAAGTTCTAAGAAGTGTTCTTTGATTTGTAATATGATTATGCTTTTAATGCTTTTTTGCTTAAAATAAAACTTTTTTATTGAAAATGTTGTGCTTATTTAAGCGCTTATTCTTAATTTTTTTGTGCTTATAAATCCGCTCTCTAGTTATTATATTAATTCTGATCTTTCCATTCCTTAGAACTAATTGGCATTAAATTATTTGATTATTATACAGTGTTTGTCCTGTCGAGCATTGTTTGTTTCCATTTAAATCAATACAATTTTTCTGTTATCCATAAACATTTGACGTAAATGCAGCTACCACATTTCATAAATGCGGAATCCACTGTAGCAAAATTTAATCGACTCAAATCGAAAACGTGTAATTAACGCTTTAAGTATTAATGCACGATGGAGTTGCAGTTCTATGAAACTTTTACGGAGTCTTCTTGCGAATATCAAGCAAAACCGTAAGTAATAATTACTTCACATAGAAAATTAATAAAGATACAAGTGGCTTTTTAATATAAAAACTACTTGTAAGTGGCGAGAGTAATACTGGCATATTTTCCGCGGAAGCGGCAAGACGCACATCCTAATTAATCCTTTATAATATCTTAAAAGTTGCAACTATTGAAGATAGTAACGATTTTTAAATTCTGTGCCTAACCAAGAAGTGTTATTGTATTTTTTTATTTGGTTTGAGAATGAGCTTGAGGTACGTATTTTACAACAACAAAAATTTAGTTGAATTGCTTGAAATTAGTTTTTCTTCCAACAGTTAAATCATGAACGTCCGCAAGAAATTCTGCTGGAAAACAACAATCCAACTTAATCTACTCGTTCTGAAAAGTTTTGGATTTTGGCCTAAGGATGATGAAACTTTCAAATTAGATTTTTACACAATACGCACCATAATCCTCGTTACAATCTTTTTTCCAGTAGCCCTGTTTACGCAAGCAACAAATTTGTTCTTCGTTCTGGACGACTTAATCGCCCTCACTGGAACCATCTACATGCTCCTAATAGAGATTTTGTGTGCTTTTAAAGTTTACTACATTGCCAAAAACATGTCCATTGTGAAAACACTGATGACAATGTTAAATGAGGACCTTTTTCAACCACGAGACGTCAGTCAGGTTGTCTTGGTTCAACCAAATTTGGACTTCTGGAAGACCACCTACATAGCGTTTATGATCATGGCTCTCGGTGCTAACTTATTTTGGGCTGCTTTTCCTCTACTTGATAAAGCTAATGAAGAAAATAGATTACCATCTTTAGCTTGGTATCCATACAACACGAACGTGTCGCCTTTTTATGAAATAACTTACACCCATCAAGTGCTTACCTACACTTATATTTGTTTTACGCATATCAATATTGATACTTTCATAGCTGCCTTAAATACGTACATTTATAGTCAGTTTGATATTTTGTGTGATAATTTGAGGAAACTACACTTGGGTGGCAACGTGAAAGCCAATTTGGTTAAGTGTATCAAACACCACTGGCTGATTTTAAGGTAAAATTTTGATAAGTTAAACATACTAACTGAACTAATTGTTTCAGATTTGCCGAAGAAACCAACCACTTTTTTGAGTGGATCATACTGATACAGTTTTTTATTAGTGTTATCATAGTGGGAATAACTCTATTCCAGATAACTATTGTAAATTGTAGTGGTAACGAATTTGACAAACCAATACTAAGAAACTTTTTTAGGTTGTACCATTCTCAACTGAATTTTTGTTTCTTGTATCTTACGGAGTGGCAATAGTGACGCAAATATTTATGTATTGTTGGTTTGGCAACGAAGTGCAAGTTAAGGTAATTAAAAACCGGGACCTCTTCAGGGACGAGGTAAGTTCGGTTTAGATAAGTTTTTACCAGTTCTTTGTTTTAGAGTAACAATGTGTCCTTCGCAATCTACGAATCTAAATGGCCCGATTTTTCTAAAGAGATCCAAAAGGATATCTGGTTTTTCATGTTCAGGTCACAGACGCCTCTTAGAATGTCAACACTGAATGTTTTTTACTTATCTTTGGAATCTTTTATGTCGGTAAGCTTTCGTAAGGGTAGAGAATTTATCATTAGTAAATAATTTTTTAGATATTGAAAACTTCTTGGTCCTATTTCGCGCTACTTCAGCAAGTCAATTCCTAAAGCGAAACACTTACTTACTTGCCTATTTTAATAAAAAATTGAAATGTTTACGTATAAAACCATTACATTTTTCTAAAATATATATCTTCCAGTTTTAAAATTTCAGACACATTCATCTCAATTAAATAATTAAAAAAAAATTGAAATGAAAATCTTCACACTTCATGAAATTATGTGCACATTCTTAACATTAAAATAAACCATTTTGTAAAAAAATAAATTTATTAACCCGACGCATCCACCAGATTATTATTATGCAGCAATTCCCACTTTAAGAGAATTTATTTATGAAACAAACATATCACATTTTTTTATATGCGTGACTATAGAGATATTCCATATACACGGCACCATC